CCTGGAGCCAGCTTCGGATTCTGCGTCTCCCTCTCTCTCTGCCCTACCCTGCACGCGCTCTGTCTCTCAAAAATAAATAAATGTTAAAAAAATTTTTAAGTATTTTTTTTTCGAAAACGCCAATCATCTTAAATGTGCTTAGGTGGCTCAGTCACTTGAGCATCTGACTCTTGTTTTCGGCTCAGGTCGTGATCCCAAGCTCTTACAATCAAGCCCCACTTTTGGGCTCCTGCTTAAGATTCTTTCGTCTCTCTCTGCCCCTCACCCACTCACGTGCACGTGCCTTCTCTCCCACTCTCTAAAATAAACACTTATAACAAGCAAATAAAAAATAATCATCTTAAATATGCTCAAACATGGATGAGGAACTAAAGTTAATCAATAAAACAATATAGGAATGAAACAGGTGTGCCAATAAAGAGAGATTTATAAAAAAACATATTCTGGAGCTGAACAGTACAATCACTGAATTGAAAAATTCATTAGAAGGGCTCAACAGCACACTTGGCAGAAGAAGGAATCAGCAAATGTGAACAGGGGACAAAAGGAATTACCTAAGGAGCAAGAGAAAAGAGCAGAGCCGAGCCTGAGGGTTAGGAGATGTCAGCCAGCGGCCAGCACACTGGGGCGTCACGGGAGCAGGAGAGGAAGGGCAAGAGAGAGTGTGAGCAAACAGGTGCCAGAAACTGCCCAAATTTGAGGAAGTACACGAATTTACAAATCCAGAATCTCAACATAAAGTAGAATAAACCCAAAAAGACCCAGACCAGGACACCTTATAATCAAACTGTCAAAACACGAAGAATCTTTGAAGCAACAAGAAAAAAAATGTGTCAGGTAGAGGAGCTCATCGGTAGGAACGTAAGGCAACTTAGCAGGAGAAACTGCCGCCTGAGGTGGCAGTGGGTGATCAGGCGCTGAAACAGTCCCCTGAGAATTCCTTATCCAGCAAAACTCCTCAGAACTGAAGAAATTAAGACATTTTCAGATCAACAGAAGGGAAGTAGTTTGTTAACAGCAGGCCTGTGAGATGAAACACAAGACACAGTCAGCAGAAGCTCTGGAAGGCGCAGAGCTCTCTGGTGAAGGTAAGCACACGGATCAGTGAGCCGGTATCACTGTGAAGTCTGACTTACAGCTTTACTTTTCCTCTTCTTCAGGATTAAAATGGTCAATCTAGGGGCACCTGGTGGCTCAGTCGGTTGAGCATCCAACTTCGGCTCAGGTCATAATCATGCAGTCCATGGGTTCGAGCCCCGCGTCGGGCTCTGTGCTGACAGCTCAGAGCCTGGAGCTGCTTCGGATACTGTGTCTTCCTCTCTCTCTGACCCTCCCCTGCTCATGCTGTCTCTCTCTCAAAATCAAATAAAACATTTTTAAAAAAATAAAAATTAAAATAAAATAAAATGGTCAATCTATAGTATTAAGATGTAATGGGTGACACCAGTAACGTAAGGGAGGGAGAGAACTTTCTAGGAGTAGAGTTTCTGTGTGCTATCGAGGTTAAGGAGACAATTTAGACAGTTACAGCTTTTGGATGTTATATGTACTCCCTATGGTAAGCAGAAAGACATACACATGATACATATAAAGATAAGTTTTTAGAGTAAATGACTAAACTGTCAATTACGCCATGTCAATGTTAATGAAAATTTTCAATTTAAGTAAAGTATGCCTTGCAAAGAAGTATCAATGAAGTACATTACACAGTTCATGCCCTTATGGGTCTTAAAACTCCCAAGAGAAATCACATTTAAAAATTAAAACAAAAGATTTGGATAGAGAATAATTTCTTAAATAAAATTTAATCAAATATATAAGAAGTAATACAGATGATTAAAAAGGATGAATCAATGAAGAGATAGGTTAGAGCCAAGAAAACCCTTGCAGGACATAAAAACCATCAGGATAGGCAAAAATTGTGTGTGTGTGTAGATGTGTGTGTAGAAATGGGTTTGACCATACTAACAATAATTTGGTTACTTTTCAACTGTGTATCCTTAATCCACATTTACAGTATTTTTAAACTTTATGTATTTATTTTTGACAGTGGAGGAGGATCAGACACACACAGAGAGAGAGAGAGAGAGAGAGAGAGAATCTCCATGAAACGGACTCCACACTCAGTGCAGAGCCCAACTTGGGGCTGAGCTCTTGAACCATGAGACCATGACCCAAGCCAAAATCAAGAGTTGGACACTCAACCAACGGAGCCACCCAGGAGTTAAATCATATTTACATTAGATTTAACAGTCTTTTCTATATAATGAACTTACAAAATAAAACATCTGTTTACTTCAAACTACATCTCAGGCTCTAACCTCTCTGCTGAGGTCGGCCTGGCTCACCTGCCCACTTCATCGCTTGCTCTAACTTATAGCAAGTGCATCTGCTCTCCACAATCCTTTACTTCTCCAGGCTTTTCCATCTCAAAATAAATGAAACTACCATCCATCAAGTTGCTCAACTACCCCTGACTTATCTTTTCCTCACTCCAACCTCTACATCCAATCCACAATTTGGTGTGGTTGAACCCACTCACAAAATAAATTTGAAATCCACTCATTCCGAGTCTGCCCCACCACCATCACTTATTAACTTTTATTCCTCAGTAGTTTATTTGCCTTCTTTGCTCCCATGCCTGACTCACTACAATCCATTACATATATAAACATATTGAGGCTAAAATAATCTTCCTAAAATAGAAGTCACACTATTCCCCACCTAAAATCCTCCATGTTTATCCCAAGTAATTTCATCTACTCAGAAACGATGCAAATTGTGCCTCATGGCAAAGAGCTGGATTTTGTTTGGGGTATTATTTTCTATTTGTTTCTCTTTTTCAATGAGATAACAGATGCCAAAGAGAAGTATCTCATCTTGGATTTGGACTCTGAAGCCAGTTGCCTGGGTTCAAACCACTGTTCTGCACTCTGCAGTTGAGTCATTTTGAGGAAATTACTTAAGCCTCCTTGGGTCTCAGCTTCCTTTAGTTAAAGATCAATTTCTGATCCTGAGTAGCTAGGATTGTAGTAAATAGTTACTTTCTCAGTAAGGTTTTCTTTTTTGCGGGGGGAGTAGAGGAAGGAAGGAGCTGTATAGTAAATGTGATTCACATGGCCATTGGGTAAACGCAAAGCTGCTCCTGAATTGTTCAGCCATTTATCTGGGCCTCACTATGGCAATTCTCATACTCACACCAACTCGGGGGAAAGACTGAGCCTTCCAGAGACCGCTTCCTGACTTAGACTGTGAGGCATGCTCACTGAGCAATCGGAACAGCCGCAGACTTCTGAGCATCATCATGTATAGCCACTAAACCAACCACCACATGCACATGCTCAACTTACATGTTATACAAGGGACAGTACGACCAATCTGACTCCTCACACAACGGAATCAATACGATCAGGAATGGACAACCCAGCACCTAGAGTTATCCAGCCAGTAAGGGTGGGACCTGAGAAGGAACAAGGGGGAAGGGGAAGCGAGGGGGACGACCGGAACCCTATAAAACAAGGACCCTTCCTGCAGTCGCGGCGGCATTCACCTTCAAATGTCCCCTCTGTAAGGAGAGCTTTCCCACCGTTCCTTTCTGATCTTACGCTCTAATCAACTTGTGCCTGCTGCTCATTTTGCATCCACCTCTTCATTCTTCAAAGCGGCAAGACAAATGATCCCAGGTATTGTGGTAAAAAGTCCGGCAACACTGTGAAAACCTAAGTGTGCAACACGCTGTTGACACTGGTCAACAACATACCCACTTTACAAAACATCAGGTAAGAGGCGAGACCTGCCCAAGGGACTCCAGGGCTCCCGAGTACTAAGTCTGGACCAAGAACTGGCCACACATCTTTACAGGACGTTTTAACTCTGAAAAATGACGAAGAGCGTATGTGAAGCAGTACTAGTTGCAAATTGTTTCTGCACAGAAATGAAACCCTGAGTTCCGGCTCAAGTGTTTCCATTATTTTCTAAATAGGTCTTGTTTCAATACTTGCCAACAAAGTGACAAAAACAGGCAAAAAACCCTCAAAGAATCCAAAATCTAATTTCTAGCCCTGCAATATGTTTTAAAAAGATACCTGAATATTACATTAGATTGTAAATCAACCATGGGGAGAAGGGAGATTAGTACAAAAAAATTTTTTCTTAATGATTTCTGTATAATTTCCCTCAGACAACTAAAGGTCTTAAATTTAGAATTTAAATTACTTAAAACATAAACTATTTGTAAAAAAAAAAAAAAAAAAAAAAAAATTACTTAAAACATATTCACTTACAACATCAACGTAAAATATACAAAAATACTCTACGTATATAGTAACAACCATGAAGTAACATTTTGGAGGGAATCTTATTAAAAGTTGATCAGCAATCCAATCTCCTTCAATTTCTATATGAACTGCTCACAATTTGGGGAAATAAATGAAGTTTACTATAAAGTTTTCAACAGTACTTTAAAAGTTGTCCTTCATTTTTCCCATTGTGCCAGGTTTATAAGATCAGTTAGCAGACGGCCCAGCTAAGTCTGGAGCATGGAGCAGCTCCAAATGCACCTGACTTCTGCAGAGAAGGGAAAGCCAGATTTAAAACCAGTGCGTCTCCATCTCCCTACGCTTTCATTAACCACAACTACAATGTGAAGCCAGTCTTCCTAGTAAGAGCTTACTGTGACTTGTGTACTTTAAAAAACACAGGCTTCAAAATGTAGAGCTAATCATATACATTCAACGGATTACCAGTGAACACTGAAAACAATGTGATGAGCATCTGACACTGAACACAGGGCACGCTGAGTCTAGAACGATACAGCCAGCACACACAGAAGCCAGCCGAGGACGCTCAGTACTGAACACTTCCAACCCACGGGTCCCTCCCCCACTCCCCCTTTATTGGGAAACATCAACATTTTCTAATTTTGTTACAATACATATTTGTTGTAAGGCAGTATTTGGGGGCCTCCGCAGTGGCAGTGACTTATCTCGGAACTGAATTACCTGACTCAAAGCTGGGATGGAGCTTGTCTGAGAAGTGGTTTGAGATATGGGACCATTCATCTGTAAAATTGAAAACATCAAAAATACACCATTGTTACAATGTAAAGCAGCATTTTCAAACCACAATGATTTAGCAAAAACAAAACCCACTGAGAAAAACACATTTTTATATAACAAAGAAATTCAGTGAGGTATTTAGAAAGAGAGGCAGGAGGCTTGAAACTTAAAATATTTTAAAATTCTGACCACCAGAAGAAAAATTCCTTGTAATTTCAATGGAGAAAATTAAGAAAAATCTTTTGCTTGACACGATAAATCTTAAACAAAAGCACTCAAATTAAAAAATTTATATTACAATCCTAATTAATTATTTTTTAAAAAAAATGTTTAATGTTTACTTTTGAGAAAGAGAGAAAGACAGAGAGACAGCATGAGCAGGGAAGGGACAGAGAAAGAGGGAGAGACAGAATCCGAAGCAGGGTCCAGGCTCCAAGGTGTCAGCACAGAGTCCCAAGTGGGATTCAAACTCACAGACTGTGAGATCATGACCTGAGCCAAAGTTGGCTGACTGAGCACCCCCACCACCGCGCCCCTACAATCCTAATTAATTCTTTAAATACATACCAGTACAACAGGTGCACTATTATTTATAAATCATTGCATTTTTCTTAGGAATTTAAAATCCAAAAGCTTTAAGTGTCTAAAGCGATTGGTTTTCTCTATCACCTAAGTACTTACAGCTTCCTCTACTAAGCTACCCGTAAACTGATTCAGAATATGACTCCTACATTCAGCTTATATGATACGCCACAACTACTACTCTGATTTACTTCTGAAATCCAACAGAGTACCTGTTCTCAGAAGAGGAGAGGAAGGCATCAGGCCGATTCTGGCCTTGACCCGCACTCACCAGATGAGCGCTGTCTTTCCCTTCCTGGACTCGCTGGCCCTGCGGTTCAGCCACGACCTTAGTGTCCTGATCAGAAGTCATGAGCTGTTTACTTGGTGGCCGCACTGGGAGAAGCTGAGTGGCCAGCGAAGGATGCTGCAGAACGACAAAGACAAGCACGTCAGTAACTGGAAGTACGAGCGCAGTGAAGTGACGAAGTCTTCAAACCCTCAAGTTTTTGGGGGGCGTGTGCTTACCCTCTGGAGCCTAAGTGGTTTAAAGAAATCTGCCCGTGACTGACACCTCTGTACCAACCCAAGAAGATGCTGAGACTAGAAATCATGTGCTAACACATACAAACCCACTCACACCCACAAAACCATGTTTTCAAAACCAGAAAATTATAAAATTCGTAGAACTCCCATTTGTGATTTAATGAATCCCATATTTACGTATGTGTATCATTTTTAACTAGCACCATTAACTTCATTTTCTTCCAGGACAAGTCATCGAGAACCAAACAATAAGTAGTTAAAAAGGAATCCCACATCAATGGAAAAGCACCTCCAGACAGCTGGACCAGAGCTGCAAAGCGAGCCGCCTTTCCAGCTCAGCTCAACAGCTACACCCTGATTTTCCCAAACCACCTGGTTCAGGAGGAGGGACCACAATACCCATGATTTCATCACATCAGTCCGAGAACCAGGCTTCCCAGAGACCCAGGCCTGACCTCAGTGTTTCCTTCTCTCTGCAGCAAACCGCCCCGCTTCACAGCCCCGCCTCACAGCACCACAGGACTGGATTTAATCTCTGTATCCCTCAGGATCTTCTGAAAACACAGCATCCTCATGCCAGATACGGAGACCTAAAAGCTATTTGTCTCGCGAGGTGACCATGCAGGTTTTTAGTTTCTCCAAAAGCGATGGCGCTCCCTTCTCTCAATAACCTGCTTATGAAATTCTCAAAACCCTGGTTATACTGAAACAATCCGACGATCAAAGGCGATCTCCTACACCGGTCAACTCTATCATCAGAAGCACAAAATCACTTACGGGCTTTTAGACAGGACCAGCAATATAAACTACTCAAAGACAAGAAATGCCTGAAACAAACCCATTTCAGAGGGGTCAGTGTTTTCCAAAACACAGGATGAATGATGCACATAAAACTGTAATAGTTTGTAATACCTGTGAAATTGTAATAGAACCTGACATCAACTCTCACAACACATCAAATCCAGAAAATAAAGACAAAGAACGATAACAGACTGACAAGTCACAGAAGGTACTATAGATGCTTTATCATATTAACTTCTAGATTTTTAAGACTCTTAAAGGAAAAACCGTTTGGTTAAAAACAAGGTAAAACAGACAAATGTGGAAAAAATTCAACTACAAAGAATCCTTTACAATACCTACTACCTACACTTGTTTTCAGTCAGAAACATGTGCCTCCTGGTGGAAAGAGCAATGGCGCGAGGGCGCAGTCATGCGGACTGGCCCCAGCCAACGCCCCCACGCCCCAGGCTGCGATCCCCTTACAAACTTGCAGCACACGTGAGCACCAAAGTGGGGGGGGGGGGGGCGCATCTGTGAAGGGGGTGGATTCCTGGACAAAAGGAGACAAGACACACATAGTGGCCGCACTACGGCTTTACCTGGTGTATATGGCTTTATTCCATTCAAACAAAGGAGAACAAAAGACAATCAGGGAAGCAGTGTTGACGGCATAGTTGACAGTACTGAAGAATTACTGTCTTTTCTAAGACACGAGAATGATGCTGTGGCTACTTTTAATTTAAAAAAAAAAAAGAGGCGCTCCCTTAGAGAGCCACACAGTGAAGTATTTACAGGGCACGGCACGGTGTGTGGGCTGACAGCTGTCCCCTCGGGAGCAGGGCGGGGGTAGTGGTCGGGTCCAGCGTGCCCATGCATGCTGGAAAGCCTCAACGGCAAAAGAGAAAAGATCCTGGGACGGCGGCACGGCAGGCATCCCAGCCACAAACCGGTGACCCTGACGCCACACCACTGCACCCCGTCATTACTGACCCAGCACACACGGTTTCCCACAAGTCCTACACCCGGAAGCAGGGCTCCTGTGTGGGCAGCACAGAAGGCAGCGGCATCACAATCAGACGTGATTGCGCGTCTCAATCCAAGAGGAAACGGTTTGGCGGCGCAGCACCGACGGCCGCTCTGGCACAGAACGGGCCTTCCCGTCAGTCATTCTGTGAGCACAGCTGTCCCGAGGCCTCAGCGGCTGCCTCCAGGAAGGGCCAGGACGCAGGTGCCGGTGTCGGGGCTGGAAAGAGAAGGCTGGGGACAGGGCAGGGGGAGGGGCACCAAAGCGAGGCCTGAGCGGCCCCAGACCTAGTGGTCTGAAGCAGCGACGCTGGGCAGAGGCAGCTTCACAACGGCCCTCCCGAGCCCGGCGATAGGAGTGATCGCCTTGGTCTGATTTCACCGGTCGATGTGGAAAAGCAGAGAGAGGACACCAGAGTGCACTTCCTACTGTCTCGCGGTCTCTACGCTAGCCGGACACTTTACACTTCATCTGTCAAAGCTACACCTGAAAGCCTTATCCATCTTAAGAACACTTGGGAGGGTTCGATCCTCTCACATCTGTTCCTGAAGAATCCTTTTCCCATATACCAGAAATGTGTGCTTCATAATTCAACACTTGGTAAGGTCTCCAGGGTCCCATCTAGGACCCCGCATCGCATCTAGCTGTGACTTCTCGGTCCCCTCCATGCTGTGCTGACTGCCAGCTCGAAGCCTGGAGCCTGTTTCAGTCTGTGACTCCCTCTCTCCCTGACCCTCCCCTGCTCACGCTGTCTCTCTCTCTGTCTCCTAGAAATAAATAAAAAAAAATTTAAAAAAAATAAAAATAAAAGACTATGGATACAACTATATATCTGGAATCTGCTTTAAAATATGCTAATAACTGTTTTGGGTAAATTTAAGAGATGAGACAAAACAAGAATGCAGGAACACAGCGCTAGACCTGGATGATGGGTGCACTGAGTGAGGACTGCTATCCTGCCCGCCCTCTCTACTTCTGGGGTTAAAATGTTCTGTAATATAAAGTAAAAAGAAAAACCTAATTGGGACATAATATCAATATCCATCTGAAACTTCACATACTTACTGTTGTTTAAAATCTGTGATAATATGGGCGCCTGGGTGGCTTAGTCGGTTAAGCGTCCGACTTTCGCTTAGGTCATGATCTCGCGGTTCGTGGGTTCGAGCCCCGCGTCGGGCTCTGTGCTGACTGCCAGCTCGGAGCCTGGAGCCTGTTTCAGTCTGTGACTCCCTCTCTCTCTGACCCTCCCCTGCTCACACTGTCTCTCTCTCTCTCCTAGAAATAAATAAAAATATATATATAAAAAAAAATCTGTGATAATAATACAAAAATATGTAAACTACCTCATGAATAATGTTTAGCTTTAGCAAAAAAAAACAAAAAAAGAAATAAAAATATTTAACTACAGAAAAGCAGAAACTAACTCAATATAATCAACTATTGAAAAGATTCAGAGATTACCTTAGTTATAAATAAGCAGGAGGTGAGACTGTGGACAGTACAATTACAAGTATGCTTTAAAAATTCACGTAACTAACTCTGTGAATATACTTAAAAGTAAATACACCAGACAACTAACAATGTATGGCTAAGAGTTAAAACACCAGAATAGTGTCTGACTTTGTTTCATTTCTGTAGTCTCAATTTTCCAAATACCTTACTGTTTTATAATCACACACACGTAATGAAACTCCCCTGGCTCGCTGCTTCCGTGTTTACCCAGCAAGCACCCAACCATTCAGGGCCGCCCGCGGTACCTTTCCCACAGAGACAAGTACTGATCGGCAGGAACAGCTCCCAGGTCCCTTCCCAGCGGGCTGTCAGTACAGATTAATAAAAATGCCAATGGGCTGTCACACCATTTTTTGGTGAAAATGCACAACTCAGTCTTGTTCTCTAAGACAGGGGTCTCAGAGGGTGGTCTGTGCCTGTTAGGGGCCCAGAGACCTTCCCAGGGCCCTCAGATCACACCAACCGTCACAGCAAGCAACTCCAAGATGCTGTTAGCCTTTGCCACTCACATTCTCTCCTCGCAAACCGCCGTGGAGTTCTGGCGCAGTCACAAAGGAGAAGAGTCAAGGTTATATGAAGAGATTTTTTTTCTAATGTTTTATTTATTTCTAGGAGAGAGAGAGAGAGACAGCGTGAGCAGGGGAGGGTCAGAGAGAGAGGGAGTCACAGACTGAAACAGGCTCCAGGCTCTGAGCTGGCAGTCAGCACAGAGCCCGACGCGGGGCTCGAACCCACGAACAGCGAGATCATGACCTAAGCGAAAGTCGGACGCTTAACCGACTAAGCCACCCAGGCGCCCCTATGTGAAGAGACTATTAAGACACTCCTCACTTCTCCAGCTACTCATTTGTGTGACATCAGATTTCCCTCTCATTCTTCAACCAAAATAACGGATCACTAACAGATCAAATGCAGAAACACAGAAGAATCCACCTGAGACTCTATTACACACTGAAGAGATTTATAAAAATACAAAACAATACCATTCTCCTCATTAAATTATTTTGTTGTTTTAGAAAAGAACGCTACCTTTTCATAAGCAATGTTATTTATATTACGTGTAACGGCTTTGCTATTATTGTTAAAGAAAAACATTTTTTATAAATCTGAGTTTTAATGTTCAATGCAAATATAGATAGGCGCCATAAAAAAAAAGATCTTCAGTATGATTTAAAGATCTTCAATAATATTTAAAAGTGTAAAGAGGTCCCAAGACCAATATGTTTGAGAACCATTGACAGAAGGCAAAACAAGCCCTGACGTACAGACACCTGGTTTCCATAGACAGGAGACGTGCTGTGTTCACGGACAGGAATACACGCTGTTCCCTGGGCGGCAACGCTCCACACATCTACAGAGTCAATGCAATCCCTATCAATATCCCACCCACCTTTTTTGCAAAAACTGATGAGCTGACCCTAAAATTCCTATGGAAATACAAGGGACCCAGAATAGCCAAATAATCCTGAAAAGAACAAAGCTGGAAGACTCATACTTTCTGATTTCAAACCTTACTACAAAACTAAAGCAGTAAGACCGCATGATGCTAGCCTAAGGAGACA